AGAAGGGGTCAGATAATTATTTCATGACAGTAGACACTGAGATTCAAGACGATAAAATTCCATAACCATTAAAAAACACATTGTCAACATCACGTCACAATATACAAAGAAAACAGCCTTAAAGTCAAACTCTAAGTTCGCAAGCACCATTTTTCTTATTTTGCCTATTTGTAAATTTTACTTATCAATGGAAATGTTTTTTCCTGTGTGCGTGTGTGTGAAATCTACATCTACCAACATTTACCAATAAAAATCAAATCCTTCCAAGCCTAATTATGTTTAAATAGTAACATTGGTTTTAATGGGCCAAACTGATCGCTCGTGTAATTGTAATGAATTAAATGGAGTTATATCAGGGATGTATTTGCCTCGATTTGTTCGATTTCACTTAAACTTAAAGCATGGTCCAATTGAAAGGCATCATAGTCCAGGAAATGTTTAGATCACAAACATGACAGAACAATTTTTCATACTATAAAACATGCATTAAAACACCAGCACAATTTCTCTCACCAATTATGTCAATAATTGACTAACTTATTTACTGCAGGATGATATAATAGAAATTGGACACTAAAAAGGATCTTTTAGGCCATCTAGTCCATTCCCCCCCAACCAATGCAGAATGGTTCCTATAATCTACTTTTCATGCTTTCTCCAACTGAGTTAGTGATTTAGTAATGGAGCTGTCACCACTTATGAGAATGGAATAATCTCAAAAAGTAAGTATCACTCTCAGAGGTTTTGCCTGATATCCAGCCCCAATTTTCCCTGATTTAGATGTTATCCCATTACTCTCAGTTTTAACCTATCTTGTACCATCCTATGCAATTCCTGTTGTACTATAATCAATACACTTATATTATGATGCATACTTTCTCTAACTTTCACATTGCCACATACATCCGTGTAATCTGGACACACACACAAAAACAAACCACACCTGTGTGAGCCAGGTAGGTTCAGACACATTTTCTGACTGCCATTTCTACAACTATTAGCAGCAACATTTGCTTTCATATTTTAGGACCCATTTACTAAAAAAGCAAATCTTCCACTAAAAACAAAAATGATTGTACCCAAATCTCCACTGTGGAATCAGGCCTATTGTAACTGTTCATTTATTTTTTCTCATAAAATAAAATTAAGTGGTCCCCTGGCACACAAACAATACAGCTGCAGATAAATCTGCATAAGACAGACCATAACTTACAGTTACACCAGATGACTGAAGTTCCCAGTGACAGATGCCATCTTGACTAAACACACTTAAGACTGAACTGGGGACCTCCAGAACAAAAAACAAGAGTTGCTACAGCTTCAGTTAAAGAGGCAAGACTCCCTCACTCAAGCTGTACATGACTCATTTCATGTGCACTGGTGGAGGGGAGAGGGGGCTGGGGAATGGGACATATAATACACACTCACAAGTGAGTTACATTGGTCAAAAAAAAAAATGGAGGAAAAACCTGTTTCATGGGAGGAACAATAGAAAAAGGCACACCAGGTATGCCAGACTCAGCACCCTCTTAATTTTTCTCATCTTCTTCCAAGTGGCCCCTATATGAATAACCACTTACGTCCCAGTGCACCAAGTTTTCTTCATTCAAATCTTTCCTAAAGGCTCATTTCTCCCACAAGTCCCCCCCTCACAGTAGCCTAAGTGAGTCAAATAACTTCTCTCACCCAGCACTGTAGCAGAGGAGAAGACGGAAAGAGCAAAACTTGAAACAAATCTATGTCAGCACTTTCCTTGGGTCTCCAAGTCCGCTTTTTCTTATTTGTGTCTGTATTTAGAGCCCAATTCCTCATCAGGGTAGGATTCAGAATGTGTGCATGCTAGTAGATCCCAGTGTGGGGCAGGGACCTTCCCTGTCCCAAAGCACTTGCAGTTAAGGACCATCTTACTTTGCCTCCAATACAGTGTATACCTCATTGCTGATGCTTAGCAAATAAGGCCTTGATCTTGCAATCATGTGGACTTGTGCATAACTTTGTTCACACAAGTAGTCCCATTAAATCTAGTGGGATTATTTGCATGAGTAAATGCACATGCCTAAGTCTTTGTGGGATCGGGACATAAGTAAGTTTCTACGAACCAGCTATTTAGCAGGAATGACCTGATAGTTCTTGACTTTGCTCATTCATGGTTGTATGCAGTGTAGTTGTAATAGTGTCAGTCCCAGGATATTAGAGAGACAAGGTGAGTGAGGTAATGTCTTTTACTAGATCAAGCTCGAAAGCTTGTCTCTCTCGCCAACAGAAGTTGGTCCAATAAAAGATATTACCTCACCCACCTTGTTTCTCATTTATGGTGACAGATGACCTCCTGAATGCCCAACTTTCAAGTCTTTTTACATTTCTGCCACTGCAAGGGAAACACTGCAACACATCCTGGTGAATATTGCATTTGTCTGCATGCTACTTGGTGTCTGAATTACTGAAGTGCATTTTAACTCTAATTATTGCTATATTATTGTATAGCACCAGAGTGCTAACACTTTGGACAAACTCATTACTATTTAGAGAAATTCATTAATACAGCAACGTGATTAAACAAGCATACATAAAATAAATATACAGGCACGGTATTTAGATAAGGGACTGTAGTACATACACACACACACACACCAAAATCCCCTGCTATATAGGTTTCTCATAACTTACATATCATTAATTTACAGAATATACTTTCAAACTATCACTGCAGTTCCAGCGCTTGCTCTTCATAGCCTACAAAATCATTGCTGTAAAGGTTCCTCTCTTGAGTCTCTTATAGCCAACAGGAGAAGCCGTATATTAAATTACGCACTCACTCCCTTAACCGAAAAAAGAGGGGGAGAGGGACGCCATTCCAGGAAATAAAAGTCTAAAAAACAAAAGGCAACTGGACTGCATGCACTGCTGTTCCTCTCCTTTAACTTAGCAACAACAAGGAAGGAAGGAAGGAAAAAGAAGAGATAAAAAAAATACAAGGAGGAGATTTAGCTGAGGAATGTTTACCCCTCAGGAATTTAGTTGCAAGATAAGATCACATAAAATGCTCTCTGCATTACACATTGACTCCACAACCATTGTGTTAGTGTTTACAAACACTTTAATCAAAAGAAACAGGGGGTTTCATTGTCCACATTGCACTCATGTCACACATCCCTTAGCACTGCAATTCCAAGGAAAGTCTGCCAGAGGACAAAACAGTCTCAGTTACACAAGAGTAACGCAGAAGCAAATATGCAGCAGTGGGGGGAAAAAATCAGCTCAGCTGCACACACACTTCCTGTGCCCCAAAGAGATTCAGTCCTTGGAGTAGATAAACTTTGAAGGGACCCAGATGGGACACACTGCAAATTCTGCAGTGAAACAAAGCTGTGTGTGTGCTGCTAATATCGTATTATATAACAGAAAGTAGATTTCTCTGGAGTATACTTGTAATTGCAGTGATGATATAGTTTTAGAAAAGAATAAATAATATTTTGCAACTTGTTATGGTAGCACTATTCATGCAAACATCTCAAAGCACTTAACAAAAGCAGGCATTATCCCCATTTTACAGATGAGGAAACTGAAGCAAGTGACTTTCCCCACAGAGCTAAGGAGAGAACTGGGAAAAGGACCCACATCCCTCTGCACTGTCTCCAAAGAAAATGAGGACTGCATTGTGAAGCTGTGTTGGATTCCAGAGTTAATTTTAAAAACACCCACATTTCTTCTATTTATGACAACAGAAAAACCAAGTGGATCACAAAAAGATATCTCAATAGTTAAGATTGGGTATATCTGTCTATAGCATTTAGTCCAGCTGTTGGTTTAAAAGTATATGTTCACTCACACTAATCAAAAATAAATCTGAAATAGTTGAAATAGCTAAGAGCCAGTTACACAACTCAAGTCACTTTTTCCCCTGAAAGAGGCAAGGAATGGATCTAACAAAAACCCACAATACACACAATAGCCCCGGCCCTCCAAAAATTATTTTTCCCTTTTCCATCACCAGATCTCTCTCACCAACCAGAAACACTCCTATCTCATAGCACCTTGGCATCATTAAGCAATAGCAAATTAAGGTCAATCACATTTGCTGCTATTTTCATCACTGAGATGGCAAATTGTACCAGGATTCCCTCCAGTTATTTGTTACTGAACACTGTATCCCAGGGAAGTACAATCAAATTACTACTTATTATTTGTTACTGTGTGCTGAAAGTTGCAATGGAGTTTTTAAAAAAGATCTACAGATGTTCACTTTTTCAGACAACTCAGTGACACTCAGAATTAACCATATTTAAAAAAGAGAATATTCTTAATAAAAACAAATCAGACTTAAACATCCTGTGACTGGCTAAAAAGAATACTGACATAGAAATGTGAAATGTGTGTTGTGCATTTATTTTTATTTTTACACACATATTATAACATGATTGAGCCTACTACGGTGGCTATTTCTAATATGTTATCCTGAAGGTGTAGGGAAAGGGAAAGAAAGCATTTCATATATGTAGTAAGTCTGCTATTTAAAATATATCATCCATTTGTTCTTTTAAACACAAGAAAAGAAGGCAATAAAGTATTCCAAAACTAAATTAAGTCACTATCTTATTCCCCTATAAATCAGCTCTTTTGAAATGCATCAAGCATTTTTTTTAAAAGGCACCAAACTAGAATAAATCCACATCTCAGTTGCTTCTTCCCCTCCACACCAGACACACACCCCCTCCAACATCTGTATATGAAGGGGAATCAACACTGTCTGATAATCGTTCTGCAGTCAAGTCTAGCTCTGTAATGATTTTTCACACGCAACCGCCCCTCCAACAAATAATAATCAAGCTTATAGACAACTCAGTGCACAGAAAAAAACTGAGGGTTTTTTTTTTTTTTTTGCAATGGTACCCATGCCCCCACAAATAGCCCTGCACAGAACCTCCCCCCATCAATTGCACTTTTCTGACTTAAAAATACATATTACAGACAAGTTGATTGCAAGAAATCACAGAACTCACCTGGATTTGGGATTTCCCCCCTTCCCTTGCGAGACCATAAAACAAGACACAACGTGGGATTCAATCACCTAGACATGGGGTAGGGCTTGCAGCTCCCTTGGGATGTCTATATGGTCCCCCCTCCCCTTTGCTTGAGATTTAGTCACTGCCCTAGTGCTTCAGCAGCAGGGGGAGGAGGCTATAGCGTAGCACAATGAATTGCAGTGCAGAAACCTCCCCTGCCTGTTTTGCAATGACATCATCCCTATGGCCGGGGGGGAGGGAGGAGGGGGGAAGCCTCCCATTGGCCCCTTAAGATCGGCGGAGCGGCATTCTGGAATTTGTAGTTCGCTCCCACGTCTAGCAGCAAGCCCCAGGTGCATGGGAGAACTACAACTCCTATAAGGTTCCGCGCCGCGCAGCCGCAGAGAAAACTGGGTGTGGGAGGGGGACGGAGAGGGTGCGCTCGGCGGCCATGTTGGTGGTGTGGGTTCGCCGTTAGCGCGGAGGAGCGGCCGGGAAATCGGATTAAAATGTCGGCAAGGGGAGGGCGGGAGCTGAATGCTCAGGGGCGAGTAAGGAAAGGGAGGAAACAGGGAGGGGGGGGTCGCGTCTCTTCTCCCGCCAGACGGACGGGTGGGCGCGGCGGCCAGTAGACCTCGCAGTGCGTTCGGTTATCACCCCCTGCCCCAGCGTTGACGGTGCGGCGTGTTTAAGTCCTCCCTGCGGAGGGGGCAACCTTGGTGAGGGGGGGAGGGCTGCTGAGTAGAGCCGTGCGCGGAAAGGCCCCGACGGAGCTCTAGCAGCGACCGGCTCCATCTGCCCCACGGACGGCAGCGGCCCGAGGCCTCTGGCCCCCCAGAGCGACGCCCGCGGGTGAGCGAGCGGGTGAGACAGCCCGGCGCCTCGCTCCATGGCTGCCCCCGCTGGGCGGGGCTGGCCGGGCGGGAGGGTGGCGTGGCGCACGGGGGGGCCCGCCGCGGTAGAGGGCGCGGGGGCTGCGGGGGCCGCGGGGCGCGGCGGGGGGGGGGGGGGGGCTCCGGCGCGGGTCAGGCCCAGGCTTTAGCGCAGCTCGCGTGACCGTGCTGCTGGGGCGCGGGGCTGCTGGGGCTCTTCCAGCGGGCGCCCGCTTTGGCCACGGGGGCAGAAACCTCGAGCTGAACAGGGTGGGGTGGGGAGCGGGGGCCGCCGGCGGGGGAGGCGCAGGGCAAGCGGTGATTCAAAGCTGCTGTGTTCGGTGCTGCGCCGCGCTTCTTCCGAGTGCGGGGCTTCATTGCCCTATAATGAGTTGCACTAATGGAGCTTGGGTTTCACAGATGCGTGGCTAGGCCTCCGTCCTGTAGGAGATGGTGCAATGTTCCTGCCCTTCATCGATGGAAGTAGGTGTTTTTGCCACCGTACCTGTTCGGGCATTTAGTAGCCCCTAAAGACACCCAGGCAATGGACAACGTCGTCATCTGAGGGCAGAGGCTCCCCATGCTGTGCATGGGATCAGTTCCCTGAAGACTTTTTCCCTCTTCTTTCCAGCATTCTCAGGCTTGACCGGATTCAGCTTTAATCAGATGTTCTTCATCCAGGTGGTCATTGCAGTTGAGCATTTTAGGGAGACTTCTTTATTAGCTTGCTTGGGAAAGGGAAGTTAGATGTAGGGTAGTAATTTGTGAGACTTCCTGCTTCAAGCACAGGTTCCTTCTAATATTTGTCCCACTGTTGCATTCTTTAGGGTGAACGGTGCTAGTTCCCCTCATCAAAGGCAGTGTTCATAGCATCTGTTATTAGGGGTCCAGAGTGGTGTTTGTTTTTACCATGCAGGAAGGAGGCCCTGCCTGCACTCGGACTCCTGTGATGACCTGTGATTGTCAAATTCCTGGAAGGGGCAATAGTTGCTTTGGGTCCTGCTCTCAGCTTCTTGGTGGCTAAAGAGGGCATCAGGGATGCAGGTGATCTCTATGCTTTCTCACAGCAAGTGGGGGAGGCAGTTGCAGAGGTCCCCTGTAAATCATTCAGTCCCTTATTGGGTTGGCATGCCAAGCCGTGTAAAGTGGTGTCAGTGTTTTTAAAAAAAAAAAAATGGGGGAAGGGGGAAAAAAAAAACTTGTACTGTATCTACTTCCAAGGCATCTGTTCAAGATAGGCCTTCCTGATAGCAACTGGTAGTTTTATCCAGTCTGTTTGCTATAGTGTGAGCGCTACAGCGGGAGGGACTGGGTATGGTGAGAAGTCTTTGTACAGAACATGGATTTCTTGGGTAACTTTATCAGGCACTTATTAAATTTGTTCTCTTTCAGGATATACTGATACTGAGGAAATGGAATGCAACTGTCCCTCCCCTGCCTCTCTTTTTTTATCTGCAGGTACCCGTGCTCAGAATTTTGAGCCAACACTCTGCCTTCTCCCTCCTCCTACAAAATTACCAGTTGGGATTGATGGAGTGGGTGCACTTCAGGCCTTAATTTTAGCTGGAGTCAAATAAAAATACTGCCATGTTGGTAACTGAAGAAAAAGGTAAATGATGTGGTGTATGTTGTTGGATCAAAATGGCAAAAATGTCTTACACCTCATGGTTCCTCTTTCAGATGTATGCAGATGTTACAAAAAGCAGTTTTACCAAGTGCCACATTCTTTTCCTAGTTTCTTCACTGCTTGAGTCAGTATCTGCTGGAATAATTCGTGCTAAGGAGGAGAAATGAGGGGTTTTTGTTTTTTTTTTTTGAGATGGTTGGGGATATATAATTGCAGAAGAACAGCTGTCTAAGCTTTTCAAATTAAATCTGGCCTAGATCTGTGCAGCTGGAACCTCTTCATATTAAGCAAAAGTGGTAAGTATTTTGATGGAGTACTCAAATAATGTTTGATTTTCCTTCTGTGAAAGACTGTTCTGTATGTTATCTGCTAACGTATTGTCAGAGATGAATCAGCCTGCTTTTTCATCTTTACGACAGACTTCCTGACCAGCAAACAGCAAAGTGTGGTGGGCAGATTCTAGAAACAACTTTCTTCAATGGATGATGTGTGGGAAGCCTGCTTTGTACACTTTCACTACTGTCCCCTATTTTTAGGAATATACAATTTACTTTGAGTCCAATGTTTTCTTTGCCTAAAGAAGATAGGTTTCCTCTTCCCATGAAGACATAGAAGGTTGATGCTCTTGTCACAGCAGTTGCCAGGGAAGGCCAACTTAAACAAAGCAGGGGGCAACTGCAATATCAAGTTGCCTTGTAAGTGTGGTGCATGAAAAGTGGTATAGAATAGATTGTTGTATTACATAATTCACTTTTTCCCCCACCAGTGTGGAGCTTTCCAGTCTTTGTTACTGTCAGCCTGCAACCATCTGTGATGTTCATTAGTCACAATTTGCCATGGCCTTCAGAAGTTTCACTTATACATGTCACACTGCATCTGTAAAGTGATTTCTAGAATTTCTATGTTTTAAATCATTAAGGGTATAGTTCCAAGTTACACAACATGCTCGCACTAGTGCTCTGTAGTGTTACAGGAGATGGTGCTGCAATAGTGGAAGTGCTGTTATTTTGGATAACATGGTAAAAGTTTAAGTGGTTCTGTAGTTGAAGACGGAGCTTGACACTTCCCAAAATAAGTAGGTGAATCCTCTGTCTATTCTAATACTGCTTTTGTCAGTAAACTCATTCCAGTTTCTGTACAACACCTCAGCCCCCATTATGTTTGCCTATACTTGCACTGCTAGTGTAATCTAACCTTTTATGATGGGAAGACACTTTAGACTGTCACAATTGTTAGTGACTGTAGTCCAGTGTCTTTCAAACTTTTTTTTTTTTGGCTACCCAGTTGAAGAAAATTGATGCCTATGACCCAACGGAGCTGGGGATGAGGTGTTTGGGCATGAGGGAGCTTAGGGCTGGGGCAGAGGGTTGGGTGCAGGAAGGGGGTCAGGGCTGTAGGCTGGTGGTGCAGGCTCAGATGGGACTGGGGATGATGGGTACAGAAGGGGGTCAGGGCTCTGGCCTGGGGACGAGGGGCTCTAGGTTTGGGATGCGGGCTTACCTCTGGTAGCTCCCACTCAGCGGCACAGCTAGGGTGCAGAGGCAGGCTTCCCACCTGTCCTGGCACTGCAGACCACACTGTACCCTTGAAGTGGCAGCAGGTCCAGCTCCTAGGCAGAGGCGCACAAGCAGTTCCGCCCAGCTCTCACCTGCAGGCACTTCATGCCTGCCTGCCTTCCCCTCCCCACCCCACCCCACCCCCAGCTCTGGGAACCGGCCAGTGGGAGTGTGGAGCTGGTGCTCTGGGTGGGGGAAGCACATGGAGCTCCATGGCCCACCTGCCTATGAGCTGGGCCTGCTGGTCACTTCCAGGGCGCAGCACGGTATCAGAACAGGTAAGGACTACTAGTTTTTACTGGCTGGCCACCAGGGTCCCTGGGTGCTGAACAAGGTGATCCAGTGCCTTGCATTCCGTGACCTAGTACTGGGTTGCGACCCAAACTTTGAAAGCCACTGTGGTAGTCCATATCTTTCATCTGACTGTCTGAGCAGCTGAAGAAAGTGTACTTGAAAATTAAATCTTCAAGTTTCTGGTAAGCATACGCTGTTCTTAATAGAATAAGAATGGAACAAAATGGTCTGTGTGGAGGTAGAGCCTTTCTGGGAAGGAAAAAAGGCATTTGGACAGGTATAATTGCTTCCTTCCTGGCTTTGCAGTATTTAGGTTTAGATGAAAATGTAAGCAGAAATCTGTATAACCAAGTTCATCTGTAGAAATGCAAGTATGAGACTGCAGCTCTTCAGAATGAAAATCTTACTGTCTTTCAGGAAATTCTTGTTTGTGAATTGTAACAATTCACTGCAGGCTCATGTAATGGAAGCAAATCCACACCCAATGTAACTTGGTAGCTCCCAGATGAGACTTTATGTGCACAAAAATAGAAAATTCAGAGATGTGGTTCCTACTTAAATTGTAACTTGGCCATGGTAGATGCAGCTGTTAGGTATATAAAGGTTTAAAAAAAAAAAAAAAGTACAGCTACTTTTAAAAACCCACACACAATCAGCTCATTTGTGTGCCAAGTCTAAAGTGCAGAGTCCTTTATCCCTGATATCAAAGGAACATAGAATTTGGAATTAGAGGTGCTCAATTTTTTCCATAACTTTTTTTGTTGGAAAATGTCCAAAGGACAATGTGTCAATTTTCTCACCAGGAAATTTTGAAGCCGTTTTAAATCAACCTGAGCTGGCAGTTTGGTTTTTGAAAACTGAAAGGCAGGGAAGAGGAGAACAAATCCAACACTGCTTTACCAGTTGTAAAACTGAGAAGAGGTATTTTAACAAACTTCTTTAGCTGCTGCCTCTTCCCTGCCCTCTTTCTAGTGGGGGAGAAGGGAATACTGAAAACACACATGCCCAAAAAAATGGAACTGACATTTTAAGTCAAAATGAAAAATGGCATAATTTTGGAAGTAAAACTTCAGAAAAAACTTTGGTTCCTGACATGCATCTGATGAAGTGGGTATTCACC